AAGGGCTAAAGCTGCGTATGCTAACTGAAGTAAACAATCCCAATCCAAACTTTTCACTCCGAGCTGCTTCACCTCTTCAGCCTTGATGTCTGGATCTTTCCCAAAGCCCCTTTCTCTCACCTGTATCTGTGTCAATCATTATTTTTTTCAACCGCATTCGTCTCAGAACATCCCCTCACAACTAGCTTAGCCGCTTTCAAGTCGCAAGCCAAGCTATCCTGACGTCTCTTTCCCGCCCAAACCTGGCCGCGGCAGCCAATTACGGATCGAAGTAATGAGCAGCCAGGATTGACAGTCCCTCCCACTCATTTGTCAACAAATCAGAATGGATGGCACGGGGGCGAAAAAAACCACCCGGCAGCCTCTCCTGCTCGTTATCGCTGACAAGTTGTCTCGCGATGATTTGTGGATTTTCCGCCTTTTTCATCTTGTGATGTATTCGTGAAATGGCGCCTCGCATTCGTGATACCGCAGCCGAGCCAGCCTGGATGGGCTACTTTTAGCGACCAAATCTACATAGAAAAAAGGAGATATTTCATTAAAGCTGCTCAAACAACCGTCGGCTAGGCTAGCAGGCTAGCACGCTGACGCCCACGCGAACCGAATTAGGCCCAGAGTTTTACAGCCTCAGCTCTAAGGAGGCTGGGATGAAGTTAAAACAAAACCATCCCTGCCAGGTACAAAGAGGCCTGCAGTCTTTGAACCACAAGACAGGAGACGTGACACGCTCTACGGTAAAACTCAGGGGAGCAAACCAAACCTTTAACTCGCTAATTCACAACTCCTTGGTTTGCAAGGCCCTGTTTCACGAAGGCCAATCTGATCTGTGAGTTTAGGCGTCTTAAAAACTGTCCTTGTTGAAGAAAACCTCTTCTATTTTTCAGATGGAGATGGACGGAGGGACCTTGGTCTTTGTGCATGCCAACAGACTGACAGACACCTTCATTCATTCATTTATGGACCATTCTACTGAGTTAGTTCAAACTGAGGCCTCAGGCTGTAAAAACTTCTAAAGTATTCAGAACTTACATTAGTTTCATAGATATTTACAAGGATTCTGTTATTATTTATTATTTATTATTATTATTATTATTATTTATATCTGTTATTAACCCCATTTACAAAAAGTTGGGACGCTGTGCAAAATGTAGATTAAAAACAAAAAGCAATGACGTGCAAATCATTTAAACCTTATATTTGATTGAAAATAATACCAAGACAATATATCAAATGTTGAAACTGAGAAATGTTACTGTTTATTGAAAAATATATACCCATTTTGTTTTTATTTACATTTTGCACAGCGTCCCAACTATTTTGAAAATGGGGTTGTATTTAAACTCTAGGCATTAATTGAGATAGTCATAAGCAAAACATGTACAAAATGATTTATATGGTACTTTATATTGTCTGTCCCAAACCCTAACCCCTAAATTTACACTTTAGTAATATTTACATAAAAATATTTACATTTTTGTTTATTTGTTTGTTTGGTTTCAAAGTCTCTTTTTGGTTTCTTTTAAAGTAAAGTTGAAAATTTATTGAAAAAGTGCTGTACCACATTTTCATGTCACTCCCGAAACACATCGGCTGTGTCCCAATCCAGGGGCTGCATCCTTTGGAGGCTGCATTTGAGGGCAGGAACAGCGGTGCTGTGACGCTAACAGGAAATCCACCATAGAGCAGACCGTCTCATTTCAGTTAGGCTTTCGTGGGTCTACGCAGCCTTCATAGACCACATCCTTCGAAGGATGCAGCCCCTGAATTAAGACACACCTAAAGAGTTTTAGCCCGTAGGCAGAGCCTTATTTTAGCCACGCCCTGCATTTCAAAGCAGGAAGTGAGACTCTCTGTCCCTCATGGCCACATGGTGAGCAGTTAGATGCCATTATTTTAAAGCAAATTTGTCCCAAAATGTTTGGAAAGTGAAAAGTGTTTTGAACTTTAAACCTTCAATGACCCTTTTAGGTTTTTTCTGCCTATAAGTCGTGTTGGAAATGTTGTATTTGTGAAATGAGCACACATGAAGACCACCACAGTGTCATATTTGCTAGAGGGGAACTCATTTTTCAAATAACCCAAGTTTTCAAATTTTCAAAGGTAGCTGTTGATAAACTGGTTGTATTTCAGTTACTCAGCAGACACACTTTGGTCAGAAACATGATAGGCGCAACAATGGTTTTAAGGTCCAACTGAGCTCCTTAAATAAGTTTTTTCCAGGTGAAAAGTTCGTATTTGTACCTTTTCATAACCGAATGATTTAAAACAGAACAGTAAAATAAAAGCCTGGAGACGAGACGGGGTGTGTGGAGTCAGTACAGCTTAGAACATATCATTTCAGTGGATTATGGTTCAGTTATGTTCCCTGACTAAAGGTACTGAGATGCACCCTTGAGGGTCCCACCCCAGTAACAAGAGGGGCACTCCCCCAGTGACAGTTTACTACCTTTATTTGTGAGAGAGCAGCCTGCCATTTTCTGTCCATCAACTCAAGAGCTTAGTAACAAAGCGAAGCTGTGTAAAAGTGTGTTTGCGATAACTCATCTTGTACGCAGGTTAACTTTGAGTTTGGTTTCAAATTTAGCAGTACCAGTCGGACCTGGTTGGGTCTCAGAGTTTCAGGGGCTCATTCAGGCTTCAGTTTCGTTCCTCTGCAGACCTCTACTGAAAGGCTAGTATTTATCTACTGCCAACATTATTAGTTATTAGCACTGATAATTGATGATCCACTGCCATCATCTCTGTTATTAAACTCATTTTCATCTCCAGCATAACAAAAAACAAATTTGTCTTGCTTTTTTGGAATAAAAATATGCACTGCAGACTAAAATCATCCACATGTGAAAATACAAATATAAGCACGTGTTATGTGATGCTTCTAACGGTATAAATTCATTACTCATAAGCACCCTTTCATTACAGTCATGCACAATAAACAGACTCTCTGTAATGAGAGAAAAACAAAGTACACTAAAAACCCTATTTCCAGTGCGCCTATCATGTTTCTGACCAAAACTACTTGAACATAAATAAATCATATTTACAGCTTCCTTAGTCATGAGTAGGAACTTCTGAGGAGGACTTGAGAGCAGCATTTGCTGTGTGCTTGGACAGTGGTCAGCCATGGAACCGTGGAACAGGAGGACCTTTATTAAAATCTTTCCCACATGTATTATTTGTATGAATTTATTATCTTTTCTGTTGCACAGAAAACACACACTGACACAGCAGTGCTGCTGGAGTTTTTAAACACCTCAGTGTCACTGCTGGACTGAGAATAGTCCACCAACCAAAAATATCCAGCCAACAGTGTCCTGTGGGCAGCGTCCTGTGACCATTGATGAAGGACTACAGAATGATTAGCTCATACTGTGCAGCAAGAGATGAGCTTTCATCTCTGGTTTTACATCTACAGGGTGGACCAACAATGTAGGTGCGTCCAATAGAGTGGACAGTGAGTGGACACAGTGTTTAAAACTCAGACCAGCGCAACACACACTAACACTCCACCACCACATCAGTGTCACTGCAGTGCTGAGAATGATCCACCACCCAAACAGTACCTGCTCTGTGAGGGTCCATGGGGGTCCTGACCACTGAAGAACAGGGTAAAAGGGGGCTAACAAAGTATGCAGAGAAACAGATGGACTACAGTCTGTAACTGTAGAACTACAAAGTGCACCTATATAGTAAGTGGAGCTGATAAAATGGACAATGAGTGTAGAAACAAGGAGGTGGTCATAATGTTATGCCTGATCGGTGTAGTTCATTCATATATCAGTCCTAAAGGCACACAGGGATGCAGGAAGATGTTTTAAATAGGGGGTGCTGGAATCATAAACAGCATATATGTGATGTGAATGATGACATCAGAAATGATTTGCCTTTTCCCCTTTTTTTGGTACTTTACATCCAACACAATGCACCATACTGCACTACAATGAGGCGAGAGACGACCTTATATACACATAACTGACACATCAGATCACTGATACACATGCTCTCTCTGCTCTCATCCTGGACAAACTTTATGCAAATTAACTAAGTGGCGGCCAATCAGATTGTTGATAAGTGTGTGTTTTAGTCATGTGCTCATTGTTAACTTAAATAGTGCACTACTGCAGATTTTGAAAATATATAATTCAAAATAGAAAAATACAAACTCTCCTACAAAACAAGCACATGTGAGTCTTTGCTACACTTAAATGATTAAAAAGTTCAGATCTCTCTAGCAGTTACAGTCCTGAAATCAGGGGGTGCTGTAGCCCCCTCAGCACCCACCACTTCCGGCGTCCCTGAAGGCACAGTAACAAAAATTGCCAGTTTACTTATGAGGCTGGAAAAAGGTCATGCAAAAATGATTTAGGGTTGTTTTTGGTGCATAAAACAAATGTCATTAGTGGACCTCAGGGGAAAAAGTAAAACACAAGACAAATGAAAAGATTTAAAAGGTAGTAAATACACTGTTGGAAATAAAGGTTCTGTGCAGGCACATTTTTTGTTTATTAAGGTATAATCAATGTAACTGTTCCCTCAAAGGTACAACAGTGGTTTTAAGGTCCTGTTGTGAACCTTAAATAAGTTTTTCCAGGTGAAAAGTTCGTATTTGTGCCTTTTCAATACCTAATCTTTTAAAACAGAACAGTAAAATAAAAGCCTGGAGACGAGACGGGGTGTGTGGAGTCAGTACAGCTTAGAACATATCATTTCAGTGGATTATGGTTCAGTTATGTTCCCTGACTAAAGGTACTGAGATGGACCCTTGAGGGTTCCACCCCAGGTACAAGAGGGGTCCTGCCCCAGTGACAGTTTAGTACATTTATATCTGAGTATACAGTAAAGAACCCTAGACATATACATGTTTTTAGAACATAAAACAAAACCCTTTAAATTTACCCAACCAGGCCTGCAAGCAGGGCCAAACTATCATAGTGAGGTCACTGCAAAGCAGGCTACAGTGACTGCTAACCTGAATAAAAGGACCAGTGAAGGACACTTACATCTCTCCTTCTGTTCCTCAGGACTACACGAGGCCTCTGTGTCCACGAGCAGCCCGGACACCGCAAACAGCTTCTTCCCAGCCTCCTCGGCTGCCTTCAGAGCACTAGGAGACCCCGAGGGGATGCGGGCCACCCCAAAGTCAAACTCCTTCCCCTCCGCGTCCGTGTACCGCAGATGAGGAGAAGCTTCTGGTTCCAGGCAGCCCTTCAGACGCTTGGCTGGAAGAAAGGCTGACTGGTAACCCCCACCATCTCGCTCCTCTACCGGAGAAGAGAAGGGCCTGAAGGCGCCCACACCTCCGTGAGAGAGGACGCCCAGAGGAGAGCAGTCCAGATTAGCCGGGGCGAACTGAGGATGGAGGTGAAGGAGGGATGTGGGAAAGTCTCGAGGGGCAAAGCCTCCCTGGCGGTGGTACATGGAGGTGAATGTGTAGGAGCTGGCAGGGAACGGGAGGTGAATGTCTTTCTCCAAAGTGACGGGGACCCCAAAGGGTCGTGGAGGTTGGCACGGGACGGAGGCATCTCTACCAGCTTCAGCGGTGGAGGCCAGGACCATTAGAGCGGGAGACGCCAGAGGACTCGGCATGTAGGAGGAGCTCTCCATCTTGAAGGCCGTCCGATGGAGGTCCATTCCTGTCCAAGGCCTGGCGATGGATGGAGGAAAAGAGGAGCTACAGAACTTCACCAGGATCAAACAGCCACGTCTACGAGCAGATCATTCTCTGACTGACATCTGTGAGGAGAAAAAAGATGTATGAGATTAATTATGAGAGTTTAGAGCACTAAAAGGGAAGTGAAGGGGAATCCAGCAAGTTTTCTAAATTGAAATTTCTGCATACAAATTCAGTGAGTGAGATGTAAACAGAGTGATTCAGAGTGGTTTGGGGTGAAATGGTTCAGATGTCTTTACAGTGGTGGTGATAGGGACCAGGGGTCGCCATGACTACAACACAAATATAGACATTTTATTTACTATCCAAAACCACCAGTGAACCTACACGAGTCTTCTGAGTTTATATGGAATGTTGATGATGGGAAAATCTGGGAAAATCTGGAAAAATAAGATTTCTTTGATGATTATGGCTGCACTTTGCATGTATTTTAAAAATATATACATGTCTCAGGTAAAAATCTTCTAAAACAATCATCAGACAATGTCTCAGACATCAGATAGTGCGGTCAAAACCCATTTCACTTTCTGTGAGGGAGCTTTTAGAGGCATTAAACTCAGAGCGTTTCACACCAAACCACCCTGATTCAATTTTTTACATTTGAACCACTCAGTTATTGGGAAGTTTTAGGAGCAGCTCAGCCAGTTTGTAACACAGTCCATGAAGTAACTGAATAATAAACATAGGATATAATAAGCTGAAAGATTTTATTTTTTAACATCATTTAAAATGTCATTTAAACGTCTTTTAAAAAGTTTTAATCAGTTGCATGTTTTAGTCATGTGGACCCCACTGACACATTCTAATCATGCACATTCCCAGCACTGCATGTTCAGTGTGCAGAGTCGAGGAGCTACAGGGCTGCTAGCAGCAGAAATCAGACAGAAAGAGCTGGAAGTGAAAAGATTGAAACTGATTTTCTGTCCTGTTCTAAAGTGTGTTCTAATCGAGAAAAGAAAACACAACACAACAGAACAAACAAAACAAATATTAACCAATTCATATATACATGTGTATATATATATATATATATATATATATATATATATATATATATATATATATATATATATATGTCGTTGCTGTCAGACCAAAACATCATATCTTCAATTTTTGTTGTTCTTCTGTTTTTTGACATAATTTAAAAATGCATACTGCCCTTTATATTGTGTGTAAATTTCAAGATGAATGGCCCAAACTGAGTTGGAAAAACGTCTGGTTCAATAGACTTACTTTAAAAGTAAAGTTACCATATATATATATATAATCTATAGCCTTTGCAAAAAACCACCATAGATCATTGTACTGTATCAAAAACAAAAAGCAAGGATGTATTAATTTCTATAAGCAGCATATCTGATTTCATTACATGGTACTGGGGCTGTAGAGGTCTGTAAATGGTTAAATCAAAACAATGACATGTAAAATCATTGCTTATTGTACAAACATAATTTGTGTTTATTCTAACATTAGTGTTTTTTTTGAGCAAATAAATATTTCTTGCCCAGATAAACAGCTTTTTAAATCCAGTTTTCTCAGGTGTCTAAAATTTTGCACAATACTGTCTATCTATCCTTCTATCTGTCTGTCTGTCTGTCTGTCTGTCTGTCTGTCAACTCAATGATATGTATATTTACATAAAAGACAAAACGTACTAAAGCACAACCCAGCACAAAGCAACCAAGCAAAACAAAGCACAACATGAAAAAACCCAGCAAAGTACAGTGAACACAAAACAACACAACACAACTAAAACAAAACAAGAAAACTAAAACAAAACACAAGAAAACCAACACGAAACTTAACACTAACACAAAACACAACAAAACTAACGCAGAACACAACAAAACTAACACAGAACACAACACAAGAGCAATAAAATGAACGTAACTGCAGAGCTGTATTAAGAGCAGATGGGAGTTTGTAAATGAAGGGAGAAGAAAACTGACTGTGGATCTGCTGACATATTAATAATAAAGCTTATTGATTAGTGGCTCCTGCTCTGAATTCAATAGACTAACATAAAGTGATGATGATGATGATGATAACAGAAACTGTTACTGTTACCTCTAATAAAAATAATAGTCATTATCATCATCAGTCAGACAGTGAATTAAAACCAGATGCTTTAAAAAAAATCCAGCATTTGATTTTGGAGCCACTTTAAGTGAGTATGTAAATACTGTAGGCATCATTTTCCAGATATGAGACCATAAATACACAGCATACAGAATAGAAAAGAAACAAAGATTCAGTGTGTGTGTGTGTGCGTGTGTGTGTGTGTGTGTGTGTGTAGAAGAGATCGAAAAGATCAAAAGATTCGCGAGCAAAATCTAAACTTTTCTCAAACCCTGAGCGCTTCGTTCAGCTGTATTGACAGTCAACGTACACAGACAGTAAAACACCGAGCAGAGCACAACTTTACAGGACAGCAGGACGGAGCTGAGACTGCCGACAGCAGCGGAGACCAAACTGACGGCCCGCGCAGACGGACAGAGAGAAACAGTCCGAGAGAGGAGAGAAACAAAGAGAAGGAAAGAAAAGTGGAGGAAAAGAGAGAAAAAGAGAAGGACAGAGAGACAGACGAATAAATCCGTCCGCAGTCTCTCTCTCCCTCTCTCTCTCTGTAACTCACCGCTCAGTGTCTCCGCGCGAGCCCAACTGCCAGCGGACAGCGCACGAGCCGCACGGAGGAAAGCACGCGCTCCCCCTACACACACACACACACACACACAAATGCTCTCTCGCTCTCTCTCTCGCACGCGCACTTGCTCTCTCTCTCTCTCTCTCTCAATGTCTTTTCTTTCTCTATCGCTTTCTTTTCTCTCTGCTATCTGTTTTCTCTGTTGTCTAAGTTCTCTCCTTTTTTACCCCCCTCTCTCTCTCTCTCCCTCTCTCATCACTTCTCTCTCTCTCTCTCTCTCTCTCTATACATACATATATATATATATATATATATATATATATATATGTGTGTGTGTGTGTGTGTGTGTGTGTGTGTGTGTGTGTGTACAACTATTTCTTTTTCTCAGTCACTCTTCTCTTTTCTCCTCCATCACTCTCTCTCTCTCTTTCCTCTCTATTCATCACTTTTCCTCTCTCTCCCTCTCTATATTTACTTTTTTCTTACTCTTCTCTTCTCTTCTCTTCTCTTCTCTTCTCTTCTCTTCTATCTCATCACTTCTTTCTCTCCTCTCATCACTTCTTTCTCTCCTCTTATTGCTCTCTCTCTCTCTTTGTTATTCTTTCTGTGCTGACTGTCTGTATTATTATTATTATTATTATTATTATTATTATTATCATTATATTTTGTAATTCTAATGCTTTTGTTAAATAAACAAACAAATAAGTAAATAAATAAATGCATAAGTAAATAAATGAATGAATGCATGAATGAACCCCCTATAAATAATAATATATTTATCTCCTATTTAAGTTTGGGGTCAGATAGTAAATGTGTCACTACATTTAATAAACACTGAGTTTGTAACCTGTTTTCAGTGAATATTTATTTTCCGTGTTTAAACGCCTCTTTGTGCTTTAAGGTCTGGGGCTGCGGAGGCTTAATTAGATTAATCTGATTTAATTTGGCACAAGTTTTCTAATATTCACACTGTGGCTCTGCTGCTCATTTCTATCTGTCTGACACAGAGAATAAAAACACTGACGCTCATCTCTCTCATCTCTATAGATTTACATACACCGACATCTGCACATTCCCTCTGTATGGAGGTAAAGGCTGGAGCACTGAACCCTTAATGAGAAAACATGTGAAATAATACTGATGATGTTAATGGCCTGTTTTGACTGGACCGTGAGGGATGTGTGAGCTTCTTTTGGCTGTAAATGAAGTCATCACTTCCAGCTATAGAGGCTCAGAATCCCAATTACAGCTGCGTCTGAGCTGGTGACACTAATCCGATTTGATGCTCGCTGTATGCTTTTCTCTCTGCTTGGACGTGAATCATGTACAGTAAAGCGGTGCTTCAGTCGAACACGACACGCATGCAGAAGCAGGTTTTAAACACTGCTGTGGACTCAGTATGTCTTTAATGGGCGCTGAGTGAAGGGAAAACAGACGCTTTGCTGTTTCTGTCATTGTTACTGTGCCTTCAAGACTGATATATGTAAATTAGCTTTGTTCTGATTGGCTGCCCTGCATTGTGCCTCATATAGAAAAGAGAAACACTCTTTATAACATCAGAATGAGTGGGAGGAGCTAAACTGCTGTAGGCTGAATTGTTGGTTTTCATGACATCACAAAAACAATGGATTGAAAACAGGCTGTTTTTCCTGCTTAGTTTCTGTATATGGACTGTATGCAGTGGGGAAAGAAAGATACATAAAAAAAGAGGCAAATACAAGTTTTAACAGTGTTTACGTCAAACGCTTTTACTCAAAAAATGAATTTTTTGGTTGCTAAGGTTATTTTATATGGTCACTGTCCAAAGGAAAACAAGTATCTTCACAATAATAACTTTATAGAAGAAGACAAAAACACTCTTACCTTTCAATGTAAGTCAATGTAAAGAGATTCCATTTCAAGTGATTTCAGAGCATTTCTATTTCTATAACCGCTGGTGTGTTGAAATGATGTAGAAAACTAAAAATCTACAAAAATGGAGATATATGGTTTTCTTTGGACAGCGACGATACACAAACCTCAACCTCAATGTAGGACAGTGAGTGAAATGCGGATAAAAACTGAAAGCAGTGATTTGGCAATGAACAAAGTACTAAGCAAGTAAGTAAGTACAAAGCAATGTACAAAGATATGAAAATTTTTACCATATCTAGTTACATAAGCTCATTCTGAAACTAATAGCCTGCAACTCACTCCAAAAAAGTTGGTACAAGAGCTATTTAAGACTAGGAACGCTGTGAAATGTTCAAAAAACATCTTAAATAAGTGTTTAGATATATCCAAGAAAGGCCTAGTCTGCCAAAAATCTGCTCATCTCTCTGCCAAAAAAATGCACCAGCAAATAACCGTACAGTTTCAGAACAACGTTCCATAGTGAGTGAGTACAAGGACTATTGTGTTTCACCCTCTACAGTGCATAATGCCTTCAAAAGACTTAAGGAATCTGGAGAAATCTGTGTGCGTAAAGGGCAAGGCCGAAAACCGCAGCTGAATGCACATGACCTTCGTAAAGCCTAATGAGTTTGCACAGCTTGACACTTTGAAGAATGACATAAACAGTCTGCCTTTAAAACTGAATATATTGTTGTCTTAAGTGCCCAAACAATCATTAAAGGAATTTTTCCAAATTTCTGCATAATTCAATCATTAAGATGCAAACAGAGTCATTCAGAGTGGTTTGGTGTGAAACGCTCAGTTCTAGAGAAACTTACAGAGTCAGAACTGTTCACAGTGGTGATGATAGGAACCAGACGTCCACCTCTAAAAGCTCCCTCACAGAAAGTTACTACATGAAATGGTTGTAAATTCACTTCCTGATGTCTGAGACACTGTTTGATAATTGTTTTAAGAACGCTTTGGCCAAAAAAAATTTAAACATTTTTTCAGATTTTTTTTCCATTTTTTTCAGTTTTTCAGTTTCACCATCATCAACATTCCATATAAACTCAGAAGACTCGTGTAGGTTCACTGGTAGTTTGGATAGTAAATAAAATGTCTATATTTGTGTTGTAGTCATGGCGACCCCTGGTTCCTATCACCACCACTGTAAAGACATCTGAACCATTTCACACCAAACCACTCTGAATCTCTCTGTTTACATCTCAACCAGTCAGTTGTTGGATTTATTAAATTATTGTTGCAGGCACCAAATTTGGAATGAGCATAAAAAACAATAAAGTTTAGAAAGTAAAACAAATATCATTTAGAAAGTAATTTGAAAGTAAAATCAAATATTATGCCTTGTATTGAGAACATAGGTCAAACACAACTCACGCCTTCTGTATTTATTAGCAGTTCTCAAACTGCCCCAACTTTTTTAGAAGTGAGGTTTGTAAATTAATTATCTTATTCTTACAAGTTAATTTGATTCAGAAATTAGTGTTATAACTAGTGTATAAACTCCACTTTATAAGAAGCCTGCAGTGTGGAAATAAAGCACAAATTTTCAAATGAAGGGATTGTTTACGCACTAGATGAAGGATGGAAATTAAAGTTACTCTCTCATTAAGAAGTAGAACGTTAGCTGGAGTAAATTAAATCATAGTTTAATAGAGGTCTCATATTATGATCCCTGAGATCGTTAACAAAATCTATTAACTCTCTCCCTCCGTCAGAACCGTGCGCGCCCTCCGCCCAGCGCTGTAAGGCACAGTTTAGGATATTGAGTCTTACCCCGTGTTTTTAAAATTCATTTCTAAGGTGGGGAATCAAATCACTTCAGTTAATTCTGTTAATTCTGCAGAGCAATTAGATCTAATTGGAGTTTAATCGATGATAAGTTTTCGTTAAGAGAGAGAAAGTGGTTGGAACTTTTTTGGCAGAAGGGTGCGCCAAATCTTGGGCCCAAATGCTTAAAGGGCTTATAGTCTATATTTTCTTGCATTTTCAGGTTAACTTGCAACATTTATGTGGTTTTATGTGCTGTAATTCATTCCTACATGATGTTTCCAACCTCTCTTTAACCCTTACAATTAAACAGGCTGCTATAGGTTGAACAGGCAGACATTTAAGCAGTAGAACACAGAGGGAGTGTGTTATCGCAAAATAACATCACGGCTGTGATTTGGTCGCCGTAGATCATCACAGCCGTGATGTTATTGGCGATAACACACTCCTCGAGTGTTCTATTGCTTTAATACAACAGTTAAATAAATAAAGTAATAAATTAATAAACTGGGTCGTGAACGCAGCGTTTAATATGTTTTAATGTTCTCAGTTCCTTCACCAAATTATAGTTCCTGAACAAGCAGCTTGTTGCTACGTCAGAGTAACGAGCTCCGCCCACTCGCCGCTCAGACTGCTGTAAGCCTCGCCTTTTGAAGTACAGATTGAGCCATAAAACTGCCGCAATATCAAGTTTAGCTCAGTTTCGTCTTTTTTTGCCAGATCAGTATTAATGTTGTTTTGTTCCAGCCAGTCTGTAAAGCATCTTACAGCCCATTTAGTTTGGCGAATGGTGTTGGGTTCATTTCTGGCTGATTCCAGGTTGTTTAGCTGTTCTTCTGTCACAGCTGCCGACTGAAAAGCTGCTCAGTGGTGATGACAGTTTGGGAATTTAGTGTCGTCTCATCTTCAGAGTCTGACCAAATCGGCTGTCGGTCAAATGTGATCTTAAAAGTGTCCATTTTCTGTTTGTGGCAAAGTAAGAAGTAAAACGTTCAAATGACTTGAGCGTCTCCTACAGCTGTCAAAGTCGTTGCTTAGCAACGGCGTCTCAGCGGAGTGATACAGTGTTTGTGAAAAAAACGTGATGTTATGGTGAAATAACAGCACAGTTCGAACGCTTCTCAACCAATCAGCTTGCATGGCCGGAACTAACTGTTGTATAAATATAAAGTATATTGCTTATTGTGACTTTACAAAACCCCACAAAAGCAACAAATTCAAAACAGGATTTTATGGCTTAGTTGCCGTTTATGGACTGTATGAACTGGGGAGCAAATGGTATGTTTTGAAACTTTAACAAAATTTCTATTCAAGTTCTATCAAACTCGTTTTTCAAACTATTTTTTTTAAGTGAAGAAAAGTAGTTTGTTTTGTGATATGGGTCCTTTAATGGACAACTGAAGTG